CCTCACACACTCACTCTTTCTGTCTGTCTGTCTCTGTCTCTCTCAGTTTCTCTCTCTGCCTGTCTCTCTGTTTCTTTCTCTCTCTGTTTCTCTCTCTCTCTCTGTCTCTCTCTCTCGGTTTCTCTCTCTCTCTCTGCCTCTCTCTGTTTCTCTCTCTCTCACTCTCAGTTTCTCTCTCTGTCTCTGTCTCTCTCTCCTGTCTCTCTGTTTCTCTCTCTGCCTCTGTCTCTCTGTTTCTCTCTCTCTGTGTCTCTCTGTTTTTCTCTCTGCCTCTGTCTCTGTTTCTCTCTCTCGCGCGCTCTCAGTTTCTCTCTCTGTCTCTCTCTCTCTCTCCTCTGTTTCTCTCTCTCGCTCTGTTTCTCTCTCTGTTTCTCTCTGTCTCTCTCTCCCTCTCTCCCTCTCTCTGCCTCTGTTTCTCTCTCGCTCTGTTTCTCTCTCTGTATGTCTCTGTCTCTCAGTTTCTGTCTCTTGCTCTGTTTCTCTCTCTGCCTGTCTCTCTCTGTCTCTCTCTCTGTTTCTATCTATCTCTATCTCTCTGTTTCTCTCTCTCTCTCTCCCTGTTCTGTCTATCTCTCTGTCTATCTGTTTCTCTTTCTCTCCCTCTGTCTCTGTCTGTTCCCCTCTCTCTCTCTGTTTCTCTCTCTGTTTCTCTCTGTCTCAGTCTCTCTCTTTGTATCTCTCTCTGTCTCTGGCTGTTCCTCTCTCTCAGTCTCTCTCTGTTTCTCTTTCTCAGCTTCTCTCTGTCTCTGCCTCTGTCTCTCTGTTTCTCTCTCTCTCTGTCTCTCTGTTTCTCTCTCTGTCTCGCTCAGTTTCTCTCTCTGCCACTGTCTCTCTGTTTCTCTCTCTCACTCTCTCCTATCTCTCGATTTCTCTCTCTCTCTCTGTTTCTCTCACTATGTGTTTCTCTCTCTCTCTTTCTCTCTCTGTCTCTCTGAGTTTCTCTCTCTGTCTCTCTGTTTCACTCTCACTCTGTTTCTCTGTCTGTCTCTGTCTCTCACTCACTCTCAGTTTCTCTGTCTGTCTCTCTCTCAGTTTCTCTCTCTGCCTCTTTCTCTGTTTTTCTCTGGCTCTCAGTTTCTCTCTCTGTCTCTGTTTCTCTCTCTCTCTCTTTCTCTCTGTCTCTCTCAGTTTCTCTCTCTGTCTCTCTCAGTTTCACTCTCACTCTGTTTCTCTGTCTGTCTGTCTCTCTCTCTCTCCTGTCTCTCTGTTTCTCTCTCTACCTCTGTGTCTCTCAGTTTCTCTCTCTGCCTCTGTCTCTGTTTCTCTCTCTCGCTCTGTTTCTCTCTGTCTGCTCTCTCTCTCTCTGTCTCTGTCAAGTTTCTCTCTCTGCCTCTGTCTCTTTGTTTCTCTCTCGCTCGCTCTCAGTTTCTCTCTGTCTCTGTCTGTCTGTCTGTCTCTCTGAGTTTCTCTCTCTGCCTATGTCTCTCTCAGTCTCTCTCTGTCTGTTTCTCNCTCTCTCTCTCTCCTGTCTCTGTTTCTCTCTCTGCCTCTGTCTCTGTTTCTCTCTCTCTGTGTCTCTCTCAGTTTTTCTCTCTGCCTCTGTCTCTCTGTTTCTCTCTCTCGCGCGCTCTCAGTTTCTCTCTCTGTCTGTCTCTCTGTCTCTCAGTTTCTCTCTCTGTCTCTGTCTCTCTCTGTTTCTCTCTCTCTCTCAGTTTCTCTCTGTCTCTGTCTGTCTCTCTCTCTCTCCTGTCTCTCGGTTTTTCTCTTTCTCTGTCTCTCTCTCTCTGTCTCTCTGGGTTTCTCTCTCTGTGTCTCTTTGTTTCTCTCTCTGCCTCTGTCTCTGCCTCTCTCTCTCTCTTTCTCTCCTGTCTCTCTCGGTTTCTCTCTCTGTGTGTGTGTCTCTCTGTGTCTCTTTGTTTCTCTCTGTCTCTATGTGTGTCTCTCTCTCCATCTCTGTCTCTCTCTCTGTTTCTCTCCCTGTCTCTGTCTTTCTGTCTGTTTTTTTCTCTCTCTCTTTGTTTCTCTCTCTGTGTGTATGTGTTTCTCTCTGTTTCTCTCTCTGTATCTGTCTGTCTGTTTCTCTCTCTGTGTCTCTCTCGGTTTTTCCCTCTCTCTGTGTCTCCCTGTCTCTCTTTGTTTCTCTCTGTCTCTGTCTCTGTCTCTCTCCATCTCTGTCTCTCTCTCTGTTTCACTCTCTCTCTCTATCTGTTTCTCTCTGTGTCTCTGTCTGTCTGTTTCTCTTTGTTTCTCTCTCTCTCTGTTTCTCTCCCTCTCTCTGTTTCTCTCTCGAACAAAAAGAGTATGTGCAATTGAAGCTTCACCTGCTTGCCTGCTGTTTGTGCAGCCCAGTTCTTAACAGGCCATGAATCGATATTTGTCCCCAGTCCAAGGGTTCGGGACCCCTGAGCCAAGAGAAGAGGTACCTAGGCACCTGCGTGCAGCATGTTGAAGTGGTAGGTGCTGCAAGGAACCCTTGCGGCCATCCAGTCTACCCCTTGGGGCAAAAATCCAGGGAGGCATCCTCAAGAGCAACTGCTTGATCATGGACTGGGAATGAGAGCTCCCCCCCACATTTGCTGACTTGTTGGCTTTACTGCCAAACCTCCCCCCACCCCACCCCAGCCTGGTAGGAATCTGCTGCCCTGCAGGAAGAAACACCAATGTTTCAAAAAGGATGCTATAAAAAATCCTAGATCACGATGTCTGAAGCCCTCAAAGTTATTTTGATGCACAGAGGCTGCGAGGCCCCAGAGCTAAAATTCAGATGACTTTATTTTGTGGAAGAAAAGAAGCACGTTGGGTTGCAAACTGGATATTAGATTAACCGGCACCCCTGCTCTGATTTGGAAGGCAGGCCCGTTCCACATCTTGTGACCCACACCGGCCTCCGCCTTGCAGCTCCTGCAAATATCCAAGCCTCCCTCTCTCCTGGTCAGCAAGTTCCTCCTCTGTCCAAAAGACTTACCGGTCCCCAGTCAGAGACTGTCCACTGCCGATCGCAGGGCGGCCCAGTGCAGTTCTTATCAGCCGCTGGCTTGGTGTTGGCGTCGCACAGCCTCTCTTCTTCAGAACAGCGGATGTCTCGGCTGACCATACTCCTCTCGCCACACCTGGCTGTGCACTGCAGGGGGAATGGTGGGGAGAGTCAGCCTTGACAGCCCCTGGATCCATGGTGGATGGTACACTGGAGAGGCTTGAAGCATAAAAAAGCAGCAAGTCCCCCAGAAACTGAACCCCAGGATCGATTTGTGCAATTTGGGTAAATGGCCTCTGTTCCTGAGGGGGGGAGGGGTGCCTCCATTGTTCCTTCCAAAAAGGATAGAAGGGCTGAAGGCAACAGCCAGAGGGATCTGCTGGTTAATGTTAGCCCTCATCCTCTTCTTTTAATGACCGCATAATTCCTGGTGGGGTGGACTCTGGGCAACTGAATGGAGCTGAGTGTTTACTGGCCCGATGCCCTTCTTGTCACCAATGCAGAGTTATTCAGCAGATATATTCTCTTCGCATCCAGAGAAAGAAATACCTGCCTCTATCTAGGATCAAACTCATAACCTCTTGATTGTGAAGTGAGAGCTCCACCTCTAGGCCACTGCACCGCTCACAGGGCTAGTGTTAGCCCTGCCTGGAGTAAATCTAGGACTCTTTGAGAAACCCTCCACCTAAGAGGACCCACTTAGGGGCGTCCTGTGAGCCATGGCCAGCACACCTGAGCAAAAGATTGCTTGGTCACTTGTATTCGAAACCACATGCAGGAGCAACTGCTGGGAAAGACTCACAGAAATTGGCCACTGCTCCGGCCAACTCCCCCCTATAAAGCTTGCCCCCAAAGCTAGGTGATCCACAGGGATCAAAGCACAGAGACCCCTCGGCCGGAATTTACCTCAGACCACTCGGACATTTCCCACTGTGGCCCACAGGCCGGGTTCTTGCAGACTTTCCTCTCTTCTGGCCGAGCGATGTCGGCCGATTCGCACAGGTTGCTGTAGACAGAGCTGTCTAGGCCCAGTGAGAGCATCTTCCAGCAACGGACAATCCGGAACTGGTGGCCTTCTCCGCAGGTCCTGGAGCACTCGCTCCAGCTGCTGGTCTCCCACCTGTCCAAGGCAAGGTGGGGTTTCAGGATGAGGAATAGTGAGGGAGGACAGCCAGGCCAGGCTCTTAGGGGATGACCAGGACTGTGATCAGGTTTGGTTTTGCTATTCTTCAGGGATCTTGGCCCATTTAAGTGAGGTCGACTCAAATAACATTTAAGTCAAAAGCCATTTTGAAAAAAACACTCTGGCGCTCCAACTCTAGAGCATGCTGGCAGCATTCCGATTTGCATACTTCTGTTGCAAAGTGCAGAGTTTTGGTTAACAGATGCCAAAGCTGCCTTCTGACTAGACTCCAATCACAGCCCACCTCAGTGTCCAGACCAGCACAATACCACTGAAAAAGAAGAACAGGAAATCCAAGAAAAAACCAGATCTCTCTGATAAAAACTGAAAGCCAAAAAGGTAAGTACAAAAAATGGAAAGTGGGACACATAACTAAGGCAGAATAACAGCAGATAGCCCAAATATGCAAATCTGGTCAGGAAAGCAAAGAATGACCAAATACAGTTTTAGTCACCACATTACAAAAAACATGTTGAGACATTGGAAAAAGTGCAAAGAGCAGCTAAGACAATTAAAGGCATATAAAGAACAGTTGGGATGGCATTTTATTTCTCTAATTACCTTTGCTTTGCAGTCATGGACTATGATAATCAACCAATCTCCCTCCCTCCGTGTCATGGTGGTGCTGTGACTGTCCAACCCCGGAGCCTCCCCTGATACTCCAGAAGGAAAACCTCTTGCCTTGATGCAGGAAAGTCTATCCTAGCCACCAACCAGGCTGTGTCCTCCCCCCTGAGACCTGCCTCTATTGCCAAAAGGTCCCTAGACAAAGCTTCTGCCCTCATCCACCGTTTCTGCCCATGGCCCATTTCTAGATTCTCACAAGAGCAACAGGCACAAAGCCTGGCACTGCATCAGGCACCCTGGCAATACTCTAAGCACAGAAAGAGCACTCCTGGGAATGAAAGCTGCCCAGCTGCTTCTGGGCTTTGGTTCCCCAAGCAGCGAGGAAGGCAAACCTGGGTTGGCATTCTCTTCCCGCACAGAACTCGTGGATGGGCTCGGGCCGCGTGGCTGCATCACAGAAAGGGTCCTCCACCTCCGTGCCATCATAGCGGATACACATGGCATAGGTGGACATCACTCCTGCATTCAGAAAGACCAAAGCCATCAGACTTTCACTGCCACAGCTGTTTGTCTGCACAGATGCCATCCAGAAGCCTCCCCCTCCCAACACCACTGCACCCTCTGAACTGAAGCATCGGTAAAAGTCAAGGCACCTCCTGTCTCCTTTTATCACCTTGCGTGAATTACACTCAGCCCCTCTAATTCCGGCAAAGCAAAGATGGAATCTGAGCTCATTCACCAAAATGAGATCGTGGGAAAGAGTGTTCATTTGTTCACTTTGGGGGTGGGGGGGTGGGGGGGAACCTTGTATTGTTTTTTAAAAGAGCCAGTTTTGGGCATTGAGCATGGAGCCCACTGGGGGGACCTTGGGCCAGCCCCTCACCTCATCCCCAGGTGGAGGAGATAGAAGCAGGCACTGGCAAACCACCCCTGAAAACCGTCGCAGCAGGGACCAGTCCAGCCCAATGCCAGGGTCCAAAAGTGACCCCAAGACGTCCCCTCTCCCAAATCATTTGTCCAGGCATTCAGAAGAAATCTTCCTGGGATGGGGAGCATAGAAGACATAGGGAAGATCTGGGGAAATTTAGGGGCATGGCCTGTGCAATGAGAAAACATTTTTCCTTTAATATCAGTTATGGGAATTTTTGGGAGCAAAATCACCTTTTTTGATACTTTTGGCAACTTTATCCAAGAAAATAAGTTAAAGGAAAATCGCATCGGTATTTTATACCCCAAACTCTTAACAATAAATTATATTATTATTATATTAAATTCACTCCACCTCCGGCAGTTCTTTAAAAAGATAACCTAACATGATTAAAGAGTGGATAATAGTGGATCCCTTTTCCTTAACAGAGAATCTTTTCAAGAAATGACCCAGGAATTCATTCATTAAAAATGAGCATGTTACAAAAGACTGAAATAAAGAACAGATATTCTGTCCAGCACTTATGGAAATTCCTGGTGTTTGTCTCCATCTGCCTGATGTTTGTCTCCAATGGGAAGCGAGCTTCATATAAGCTTCTTCTGTCCTTACCACTCTCTATTTGGACTTTCTGTCTGAGGCGCTGCTGCTACCAAAGCAAACAGGGATGCAGTTTGTTAAAACTCTCTCCATCGTGCCTCTGTAAAAAAGTGGCCAGGACAGAAGGAGAAAGAAGTGCTCTCCTCATCCGATGCAGGAAATGCAAACATTGTATGCCTTTAAATAACGGTTGCAGGGAAAGAAAAGGCAGAAAGAGGGAGTCTTGTTTCCTGCTCCTGAGGTATCTAGTAGTTCCACAACAACAGGCTAGGTCTCCGCCTGACTCAGGTGGGCTGTCCTTAAGGACAGGAAACAGGAATTCTTCATTGAAAACAACTCTGAGGCTGGGTTTGTACTCTTGTACTCTGTATTCACCAATTCTGGTCTGCAGAATTATTCACAGACCTCTGTTCTGTCTGAAAACAATGTAAATCTAACATCTCTTAAGAGAGTTGGTAAAACTCTCTCAAGCTGCTGCAACTAGAGAAAATAGTGCCTGTAAGCATGACCCAAGTCCTGCTCCTTGTACAGTGAATTATTTCTGATCAGATGGTTAGATCCATTTCCAGCACAAAGACTGTTCTGGGACACTTTTATGCCTGACTCTAGAAATACTTCCTATTTGGTATTTGAGCCTTCCTTCCTTCGCATCCTTACCTCATTATTTTACTTGTTTTCTAGGGGGTTTTGTTTGGAATTAGCTTCTGGAGATTGGTCACCCTCCCCCCCCCTCAATTTTAATTTAAAGACCTCCTGATAAGTTGAGCCAATCGTTTTCCAAAAACATTCTTCCCAGTCTTTGTGAGGTGCAGCCCATCCCTTGCCAGAAGCCCATCTTGGAGGTAGTATGCACCATGGTCCAGGAATCCAACGTTTTTTGGGCAACACCAACCCTTTAGCCAGTGGTTCACTTCTAGAATTCTTTGTTCTCTTACTGGATGTTGTCCTTTCATTGGTAATACAGGTGAAAAAACTATTTGTCCACCTACGTCCTTGACTTTCTTGCTAACTGCTCGTAATCACTCAACATTGTTTTCAAGTACTTTTTTGTGTCATTCGTCCCTACACGTAGTAGTAGAAAGGGGTAGAAGTCTGTGGATTTTGTTAGCCACATCTTCGCTTTTTGTGGAGATATGATCGTGTCCCTCCTTGGGCACTAGGATTACAAGAACTTTTGCCTGCCTTTGTCCTGTGCAGAAGTGGCTGCTTCCATGCTTGGATTCTGCCATGGCATATCGGCTCTCCTTGAAAGCCTGTGTAACTAAAGCTGCAGGATGGGCTGCGGGCTCCTTCATGGGGAAAAGACTAGCTGGGCCTGTTTCCCTTCCCAAGCAGACTGGCTGAGGTTTCCCTCTGCAAGCCCTTTGGGGAGCTGCTCACCTGTGGTGCATGTGGAACTGCAGGGCTCATGGGAGGAGAGCTTCCACCGGTACATGTCAGCTGGGCTCATATTTTGGCCCTTCCGGAAGAGCTTCAGCTGGTTCCTAAAGAACAAAAAAGCCCAATGAAGCATTTGTGGCACAGCCAATTTTAGAGAGAGAAAGGTTTGGGTCCCAAAGTATAAATTTGGGAAAGATATGTTCACATGGTCTTGCTTTAAAAAATAATGTTTTGGATTGTTTGGTTGTAATAAAACATACCTGTCCTGTTCCCCAAGCAGAATCCCCAGCCCGGTTATTGGCAGAGCTTCCACTGTCTAGAAATAGAGAGAATGGGATAAAAATACCCACAAGCAGAAACAGTTCCATTTACACACACACACACACACACACACACACACCTGTAAGCTGATTTGTCTATTAGATGCCAAAAACAGCTGATTTCATGCTGTGATGCCACTTCACATAATGACTCCTTTATGGTCTACCCCCCTTAATAATACTCGCTCCCTTCCAGTTGGATGGGCGTAATCCTCTTGGTCCAGGCCATTATCATTAGAAATAACAGAATAACAGAGTTGGAAGAGACCCTGGAGCCTCTTGCACAAGCAAGAGACCTTCTATCATTTCTTGAAAACCTCCAGTGATGGAGCACCCACAACTTATCTGTTCTGAAGAGAGAAGAGGGAGGAGTTCCTGTCTCAGATGGGTGTGTGTGTGTCACAAGGTGGAGACTCCCTCCCAATATATATTGCTGAGAGCTGGAGGAAGGTCTGTTGTAACCATTCAACCATTTCTGAGAAAGAACTTTAAGCTGAGAAAAGGGCTCAATTTAGGAAGTGAATTCAATTCTGTCCAGTTCCTGAATAAAAATTGATTATTACACTAAGTGGCTTTATATCATGAAATGGCTTGCCTGTCATGGGAAGTTCTGCTTAAAGCTCCAGGAGAGGAGGAGTTGGTGGTGGTGGTAATGAAAGGAAAAGATGAAAAAGAGGAGGAAGAGGGGGAGGCATGCACCAAAAGACAAGGCCAATCAACAGCCCTAGTGCCTTCAGGGTGCCCCCCCTTTCCTTCATTTAAGGCTCACTTCACTGGTTTATACACTAGTTATGGAGAGGGGTAAGCTTGCAGCTGCCTTGGTGCTTTCGGTCTAGCCCTGAGGATGTTACCTAGTCAGGGTAATGAAACACATCTGCAAGAAAACAAGCAAGCCCAGAGAGCACCAAGGAGCCCTCATGTCAACCCTGAGCTACAAACTTTCCAGCGAGTCACTGTTGCTTAACAGCATTGATACAGGCACAAATCTCTCACTTTACACATGTAACTCCAGCCAGTGGTGAACTTGTGGTACTTGCTAGGGGAATGGACTACATGCTCCTTGTGCAACCCTGGTCCTCCCTCCGCTGAAAGTTCTGCTCCGAAGGGATGTGAATATCTGGTTGAAAGGCCAGTGCTGACTGCTATCTGAGCGATGAAACACAAGTTTTCAAAAGGACAAGAAGCAAACTGGAAAAACCTGAAGAAAGCCTCCTTTTGACTAGCAATGCCATAATAAATAAGCGTAGATGTATATTTGCAGAAGTAAGATAAGGATATTAAGAAAATATCTACAACAGGCAGAATTACACAATCTGCAGAAGAAGAGAGTGCATGTTCACCTGTGTGTTTGTAGGTCTCTGTGTATTATAGTTCTGTTTCATACTCTTTGCTTCAAGAAAAAATAATATGGTATATAGACAGCACAAATTGTGACCTTTTGTGGTGGTGGAGATTGTGTGTGTGTATGTGTAAATGTGTTCCAGATTGTCCACCCATCCCCAACCTGGCTGATGGGTAGGTCATCGGCTGGAGTCCGAGGGTCCCTGCACCTTTCCCACAACTGTTGCTCACAGAGACTTGCAGAACTGCTTCACTGCTTGAAATGGGCCCAGGATGGAGAAGTCCTGCCTCTGAATTGCCAAATCAGGGCTGCTCACATTTCTTGACAGTAGAAGCTCTGGCATAATCCCTTTCCTTTCCTTTCCACAATGGGACTGAAGTGCTCTCTTACCTCCCCCCTCCCTCCCCATCCACTGCAAGAGTTGCAACCGTGTTGGATTCCTCCTTTCAGCCTTGCTTTTTAGGCTTAAATATCTTGGTTGTAATCCCATGCGTATCTGCCTGAGAGTAGGTCACACGGGACCCTGCGATCTACGTCAAAGTAAACATGGGCACAATTATTCTGCATGAGGTTTTCCATATCTGAGTCAAAGACATTCCAGAAGACCCCAAAAACTCTTCCAACTAAAAACTGCCTGACCATAATAACCCTGACAAGCTCCACTTGAAGAGCTAAAACTGCAGTTAGGATTGCACGGTCAGCTTCTCCAATCTGCAACCTGATCAATAGCAAGAAAATCAAATTTTAGCCTACTGAAAGACCAGCAAAACAAACACATTTCTCTCCTTACAATGGAGAGAAATTCCTAGAAAAACTCTTCTTCACCCACCCCAATTTTCATTATTTCTCCCCAGAGTTAAACCACTGGGTGGCGTCATCTGCCAGCACAAACATAAGTACTGTCCATATGCTGGAAAAGGCTAGTTACACGTCTATATTCCTGGCCAACCAAGTGATGCTGTTGAGATCCTTTCTTGGTGCGTGGAGGACCCAACCCTAGCAAGACCAAGTGGCTTTGGGTTTTAAGGCCCCGTGGATCTGGAATTCTTGATTCGTTCTAAGTTCTTGATCCAGACACAGCTTGTGCAGGATATGGGGGTCCTCCTGGACTCATGGCACCTGTTCAAGGAACAGGTGGCAGTGATGGGCAAGAGGGCTTCTGTTGTGCATCAATTGCAACCTTGAGCAGGAGCACTTAGAGTTATATACTGCTCCACGGTGCTTTAGGGCACTCTCTGAGCTGTTTGGAAATGTTAGCCTCTAGTCCCCAACAATCTGGGTTCTCATTTTACAGACCTTGGAAGGACGGAAGGACAAGTCAAGATTGAACTCCTGGCACTAGGCAGAGTTTGCCTGCAATACTGGTGAGGGTTCTCACAGCCTTTCCTGAATTGGGAGGACTTACTCAGGGTGACTCAAGCCTTGATCTCCCCTCCCCCAAATGGATCCCTGCAATGTGCTGTCCTTGAAGGCCATTTGGAACCGTTGCTGGTCCAAAATGGTGCGGACAGTTGTGGATCCAACTCACATGAGCTACGGTGCTTCCATTGGGCTTCTGGGTGCAATTAAGATGCTAGTTGCCACTTGAAGCCCTTCAGGGCCCAGGGCAGGATTATTGACAGGAGTCTCTCCTCTTCTCTGCATTCATATTCTTCAGATATCTGACTATTGGCCCTTGCTTCCTGGAGCACCAGCGACTGAGGGAGAAAGTATTTCAGGACCAGTGAGAAAAGAGTGACAGGCAATGCCATTGGCTCATTCAAGAAAAGCAGCAAGAAGAAAGAACAAAAAAGGAGGCATATCAGTGCAAGGCTGAGCAGAAAAGATGAGGTGGGAGAGGGAAACCAGTAAGAATGACAGCTTGCAGAAAACTCTTGAAGAGAAGTCAGTTTAGTGTTAGACATGCTGCTTTTACAGCTTTTCCTGGAAATTGTGAGTGCTTTGAATTATTGAGCTGAGCCACAACAGAGGTGGGTTGCTAATCTTTTTTTATTTTTTATTTTTTATTTTTTTATTACACAGACAACAATGGGAAAGGGAGAAGATGGGGGGAAAAGGGGGGGGAGGGGAAACCCATCTTCACATACAATATGTCATTTGATCACAGGTGCATCCCTACTAAGTTTATACATCCCGTATCTCCCTGTTATATATTTAATAAACACCACAATAAGCTAGGGTTTAAAAAACAAAACAAAACAAAAAAACAAAATAAAACAAGAGGAAAAAAAAGAGGGGGGGGAGGGGGGGAGGCCAAAAAGGACAAAAAAAAGTCCAAAAA